AACGCCAAATTATAATTTTGATGAAAGTTTGGGAATATGGCTGCTGATAAAGGCCAATAGTGAACTTTTGATACTATCATCGACCTATGATAAACACATTGACGTTTATGATCAACACATTGATAATTTCGGGATATTTTGCAAATGAAAATTCATTACAACAAAGTAAGAAACTTTCCCCGCGCACCCGTCAGAAAAATATTGCTCCAGAAGAAGCCATTGTTACAATGAAGATAAAAAAGGAGAGGCAAATTCCAGTATGAATTTTCTTGGGAAAATTTTTTGTTTAATGGATTATGTAATGATCATGACATAGCTGAAGATTCACCCCGAATCACCTTAAAAAAATGATGAAACACTAAGAATCAAACTAGGAATTATAGCCCACTTAATGTTCCCTGTACTATTCGAGCAGTTTTGGCGACTATGCCCTTTCGATCAGCTAAAAATCCATTTCAGAATATTTTTTGCAGTCATTTGAAAAGTTGTACAATTTTGTTATGTCTTACTAATTGCTTACACAAGCTGGAAACCTCGAAGGCCCCCTAAATTAATCCCCTAATGCCCAAGGCCAATTTGACATCGCCATCACCTTTCGGTAATCCTGGTTTTGATCTTTTTTCTTGGGATTTTTAAAAGCTGATCGAATAGAAACATTTTATATATTGGCAAAAAGGTCACCCCTTTGCCCATTTCGTATGGCACCTAAGCAATTCAAGGGGGCTTTTTGATTATGCAGTTGGCAAAAACAGCAATTCGGTGAGCTACAAAGGGGATGTAACCTGAATTTTAGGAAAAAAGGGGCACGTGCCCACTGTGTTTCCGGTCTCTACGCCTTTGCTTGAATCTAAGATATCATTAATGCCTTGACTGATATATCGAACATTTCCGAACCAATATTGGTAGCAATCCGAAATATCTTCAGCATGATCATGAAAGTTTAAAACCGTGAGGTTATACTACAGATTAAAGTAAAAAATTCAGGCCAGAAAGGTCGTGATAAAGGACGAATTATTGGTGCGACGTTTGCTTAATCGCACACGGAGGCTTGAAAAATTGCGTTCAATCTCTGCGCCTTTTCAAGAGAGGCGCTTCGAAAATGCTGTGCTTTATGAAAACGAGGCTGAGCTTTAAATTTGGCATGAAAATTTAACAATTAAATTATAAACTTATCAAGTATGTTACGTTTTCTGAAGTGCATTAAAAATTTAACAAGTTCACTGAATGCTAGTTCTTTTGAAAGTGAAATTCTAAGTCAAAATTTATGAATTTATATGAAAGAATTGATTTAACAGCAAATGTGACTATAAGAGACATAATTGAAGCCCTGTTATCAACGCTGACTGCTTCGTTAGTTCTTGAATGTAGCAAGTGCAGAGAATTAGTGCAGAATTACGCTGAGCAACACGTGATATAGACCCAAGTCACATCTTGCCCTAAGTTCTACTTTTAGACTGGGGTACTCCGGTCTAGACCCCTAATTGTACCGTTAGCTTTAAACGTAGAATGTCAAATCTTAGAATGTTGAATCTTAGAATTACGCCAAAATTGTAAGATTTGACAGGTAGGTTTTTGATGATCTAATTAATGCTATAAGAACACTTTCCAAATGGATGTCATTGAAAAGGTACTCACTTGATGATAGAAATTTTAAGCATAAGAGAAGATATTCTCAGTCTATCTTTGTGTAGAAAAAAGTCTTAATCAAAAACTTTAGCCTGACGTATTTGGTAGTGATTACTGTTCACACTGGAGACACATTCTCGCAAATACTTTGCAACTTGGATATTGATTTTCTAAGAGACAGAGTCTCCCCTCGAGAGGTCTTTCCGTATTTGTGTCCTTCCCTCTTCCGCAAACAGCCAAATCTGCCTGATGTTAGCAAAATTCTAACTATCGAGAAAAAGGCATCTTGTGATTTTTAAAGCATTTATTTGGCTCCATCTTGTATTTTATTATGAAATCTACCAAGACGACATCGATTCGGGTCAGAATCGAATTAGAGGTATCATAAGTAACAAGTTCAGAATCTACTTGCAACATAAGAGGTATAATCAGCAAACATTTCTACTGTCCGGTCTCTTGTGCCCTTGTGCTATTATTGTACCCTGGGTACCAGAGCCACATAGATTCAAGAGGGAACAGAAGATAGGAGAGGAGAAGCGGAGGAGCGTTCTGTTTACGTGCTCGAAACTTTGGCTCTGGCACCCAGGGTATTATTATTGTTGCTCCCGCTCGATTTGCGTGCCAAAATTGATTTTGTTTGCGTTAGTGTGTTGGTGGTTCTGTTCATGCAGTTGGGGGTAAAGGGTGTTCGCCAGGCCAATGAGATATTGCTTCTTAGCTCGACGAACATTCTCGTTTGCAGAACATTCGAAGAAAAAGAAGACAAGTCTGGAGTTGTAGAATATTTCTGCAGCCCAGCACACACCATCAACGACTTTGCCATCACACCACTACTTAGACTAAAGTTTAAATAATTTTGCCCATATTCTTTGACCCATGAACCTTACGGTATCTGTACCATAGCATGTGGTTCTTACTTTTGGTAGGTTTAAATTGCTAAAGCTTCTTAGTTGATACGGCATTGCCTTTTCCTCAAAATTTTCCATCATAAACGAGGGGTTCAAGTGATTCCTTGTTTTGTAAATTTCAACCATGAGCAACTGTAGGTTCTTCTGATGTATAGATACCGTAATATCATTTTCTAACAATTTCTCGTAAGGAGAGGTGTTGTCTTTGTAACATTCCTGTATCCTGTTTATCTTGTTATTAATATTTTTTGTCATGGAACATCCAGATTAATGTGCAGTAGCTGAATTGCGACATCATAACAGTGTTCATCATCAATTTTATTTTTTTGGATTCCATGAAAATCGAATTGCAAGATAAACCATTCAGTTTTTGGATGGCCTTTTTACAAAGAGTCTGCACATGAGTTTTGATGTTAAGTTTTGTAATCGTCTGCATAGTTGCATATTTCGGCTCGATTCATCAGAAGAAAAAGGTCATTAATTTACACGTTAAAAATGAGAGGCCCTAACACTGATCCTTGTGGGACTCCCTTTTGAACTACTTTCCAAGTGCTAAACGACCCATTAATTTCAACTCGTTGTCTCCTTTGTGACAAATAGCTGCGAATCATGAGTAGGACAACTCTACCAAAACCATAGGCATGCAGAATATACTTGTTGGGGCACTTGATGCTGTTATGTTGGGGTACTTGAAAATTTGATCACTGGCAATGAGCTTGATGCAAGGAGCCTCACCGATGCTGAAGATATCATGAAAAGCATCATAAATTTTGAATTTCTGATATTGTTATACTTGTGGCTCGACATCCTCACCATAACAAAGGCAGCAATAGACAAGGTTCAAGGTCCAATGCTAAATGTTGGCGTTTCATGTCAGTTGATTAAGAACTGTGTGCAGCAGTTTTCTTCTGTAAGACCTTGCGATAAGCATTTTGAAGAAATTATATAGAAGGCTGAAAACCGTAGCGCTTTGTGCACAGAATTAGAGCAGAATTTAAAGAGAAGAGAGATTCAAGACGCAAAAGATTTCATGAAGAATAAGCAGTAGATGATCCTGTTGTAGACGATAAAAGAAGATTTAAGATTGACGTTTACAACAATATTCTTGACATAATGATTGAAGATTTAAAAGCACAGTTTAGCAACACAACCGTTAGAGTTCTGAAGGCCATGATGCGCATAATATCTGAGAAAAATTAGCGACCAAGTCACCTTCAACATCTGACTTAGAGGATCTTTACACCCTAATGCAATTCTTTGAAGAAGATCTCTCCCCAAGGGCGCCGGAGCCACGGAGGCTGCGGGGGCAGCATGGGGGCAGCAAAGTGCCCTTTTTATGAAATTGATTTCTAAGCAATATCAATTTTTATCAATATTTTGAATGCTAATGAAATTTAGGTTTCAAGTATCTCTTAACACCTACATGCAAGAGAAAAGTCAATATTTTCCATCTTGATACAGGGCCTCCGACGAAGGGGGGGGGGGCCGGGGGGGCCTTGGCCCCTCCCCACTTTTTTGCAAAACAATATAGTTTTTTTCAAAATCGTTTGTTATGGGTGTTAAATTTTCCCTTGCCCCCCCCCACTTTTCAACCTTTGTAGGAGCCCATGTGATAAGAAGTGAAAATTTATTTGCCAAGCAATTTGACCACAAAAAACTTTTCGTTGATGAGTTCTCTTAAGCATTATTCGTGATATTTTTTCAACGATTGAAAAAACAGAAAAAACACACAAAATTTTGTTTGTCAACAAAACCTTCTTAATTTTTGCCAAACCTTCCGCCGAACCAGGTTTATAGACTTGTCTATTTCTTCTCTGCAAAGAAAAATGATTAGCTTTTGTCAGCATTAAACTAATTTTTCTTTGACAAACCTGACGCTTTCTTTAGATCCCTGAATTAAGTAGTGTCATTTGCAAAAACTGATAATACCGGTAACAATAATAACTGCACTCACTTATGATATGACATTCTAAATTTCAGATGTTACAAGCCAATGAAAAGCAACAAAGTTAAGGACCGTTGAAGAATGTTTTAACCTGAAATACATAAACATTTCAGAATAATTTAAATTTAGTTTTAACCATCAAGTCTGGTCACCTTCAACTTTAAAGGCTATCCCTTCCTTTTAAATTAGAGTGTTTATCTTTACGTTTTGAACAGTTAACATTGTATTACATCGTAAATATTTGTAAATATTGTGGCAAATAATACATACATACATACATATTACATACATACACACAAACATACACACATACATACATATCAGCTTAATGAAAACAAAATTACTGTTTACTGGTTTTTCATTAAGTGCGCGATGCGGCGTAATAGGTATAAACGTGTAAACGCTTTCAGTGTATAGAACAGGACGGTTGAAAGTTGCTAGAACTAGTTTCACGATTAATGCGATCATCAATCTTTGGTAGGAAAGCCCAGCAGGAGGCAAGCACAAAGTTTCAACTGACAATGTTTTTCAATCCAATTCAGAACAACTATAATAAACTTTACAATAATAATAATAATAATTACATATTAAGTAGGAAATTTACTACAAAATCCCATACGGCAGCATTCGAAATTTAATTGTTGACATACATCAATATATGAAACGACTTGCACCAAAATCAAGTCCCCCAAACCCTCCTCCGAAATTCCCTGACGATCCTCCGTTGTTTTTATCGTCATCATCTTCATTCCATTTTCGAGTTTTTGGTTGCCAGTTTGTGTCGTATAAAAGTCTTTTTGCATTTCTTTGACCCTGTTAAGCAAAATATAGGTAAATTTACTAGTTTATACCGGGAGAATTGATTAAAGATGTAGTAATACAGATGAAAATGTGATACAAATTAATACAAGACACAAAGGCGATGATTTAATTTCGGGGCAAAATTAAACGCCGAGATTCATTGGATGATATGGGTTGACTACTGAATTTACTTTTCTTTGATAGTAAAACAATGCAAGAAGTCCTACACTATCATTTGAAATACATTTTAGTTGAAAGAATTAATACCAAATACGTCACCCGTTGAGTTATAATTAATGCTTGTAATGTGAGACGTAACGCTACGCGACTGAAAAGATCAGTGGCTATCTTGATTGACAAAAAGTTGCTTTCTATAACTGTTATTCTCAAAAAAACATACGCCCAAGTCAACAATGAGAGAAAGACAGAAATTTTGAAGATTCAAAAATGAGGAGAAAGCTTTTCAGACTACAAAATAAATTTCGCAGAGATACGAAGTATTTACCTTATGCAAGTCTGACCTTCTGCTAACAGCTTAAAACCTATTAAAAATTCGTTATAAAAGAGAACATTTTGATAATTAGAAGGAAGGAAAGACTCAATGTCTGTGGTTCCTTATATAAGCATGAAAGAAAAAGCTGAAGAAAAAATGCACCTTAAAATATTCTCTGTTGTCTGCTTCAACATGTACACGCAGTTCTGGTTTGACCAAATGTTCATTTGTTTGGATATCATCATCAGCAGGGACCTCTTCGTATATAAAAACGTATGGCGTGTCTCGTGGATGATCATTTTGTATCTTTTCCATTTCTGATGCTTTGACGGCAGAGACTAAACTGTCGTTAAAAAGGTACCATTCGTTTTCAGGTTCCTCCGTGTTCGTGCAGTTCTTGTCGTGCAAGTTCCTGTTCGTGTTGCCTTTTTCGTGCAAGTTCGTATTCGCATTCATGCTCGTGGTCTCCATTTTCGAGCTTATTATATTTTCTTTTACCTCAATGTTAGTCGATAAATCGTAATAGTTACTAGCCGTTGTGGCTGCTATATTTTTACTTAACACTGCATTAACGTTTTTAGACACACCTAGCATTTTGTCATCTATAAATCCTCCTTTGTCTGAGGGCGATGAAGAAGCTTCTTGACTCTCTGCACTATTTCCTAAACTAGGGGATTTGCTTCTACAATAGGAGTAGTAATGACCGCTATCAGAAGACACTCCTGAGTGAACGACGACTGCGACAAGAGAATAGATTTTGCTTTCTTCGTTGTCAACCTTGAGAACAGGTTTCCCTGCATACTCTGCATTCAATGCGCGAGGGTACTCACCGGGGAAATATTCACTGCTATTGGTCGACTGTTCGAAACCATTTGGATGGTCTGCATCGACATCCATTGGCTCGACTGTAGTCTCTTTAGTACTATTCTCTGTTGAGGCAACAAGAACTGGGACAGTGATTTCATTTGGAAACTTCACATTCTGCATTATTTTGCCACGTCTGTGCGCTTTTATGTCGTACGTGAAGCGTTTTAAGGTAAGAACAAGGAATTTCGGACATGAAGTGATAAGATGTCGTCGCTCCGCATCCTGCAGCGCAGAACAATTATCACATCTGTATTGATTTTGACCATGAAGGCTTTCTGTGGTAAGATAGGAGTTGAGAAGCTCTTGCAAGCTATAAGAGCGGTCCTTACGCTTTTCAACAGTTAAAGTTGCATTATTTGTCATTACAGGAGAGCTTGTTGCAGAAGCTTGAGCTTGACCGACCGTATGTATCGAGTTCGAATCTAAGGCTTCCTTTGGATCGCCCGTAGCTAGGCCTTCACTGCCTTTCACACGACTGTTTATTCTCCCACTAGAGATATCACCCCCTGAAATAAACCAGACATGTTACTCAAAATTGCTTGCAAAAAAACATAATTTAAAAATAACGATAACAGAGTTGGCAAGTAAATTGAGTACCAGAAAGAACATAAAATATTTTGATTGTTAAAAACATGATGTTTCGAGCATGTACTATCAAGTCATGATAACGAGTACATGCTCAAAACGTCGTGTTTTTAACAATGAAACTGTATCATTCTCATTTAAATTGAGTACCAGAAAGAACATAAAATATTTTGATTGTTAAAAACATGATGTTTCGAGCATGTACTATCAAGTCATGATAACGAGTACATGCTCAAAACGTCGTGTTTTTAACAATGAAACTGTATCATTCTCATTTAAATTGAGTACCAGAAAGAACATAAAATATTTTGATTGTTAAAAACATGATGTTTCGAGCATGTACTATCAAGTCATGATAACGAGTACATGCTCAAAACGTCGTGTTTTTAACAATGAAACTGTATCATTCTCATTTAAATTGAGTACCAGAAAGAACATAAAATATTTTGATTGTTAAAAACATGATGTTTCGAGCATGTACTATCAAGTCATGATAACGAGTACATGCTCAAAACGTCGTGTTTTTAACAATGAAACTGTATCATTCTCATTTTAGAACTCATTTTATTTGCTAACTATGTTATTGTTATTTTGGATGAAATACCACACGCAACGTGCATATTTAAAGATAATATCAAGTTGAAAATACGCCTTTGTCAATATGGATAAATGTGTAGCAATGTGTGACGTTTTAAGGACTACAAAGACTTTCCTTGAGAAAGAATACATAAAATGTTGTTGGGAACACAGTGATCGTTATTTCAGTATCAGTTTCATAATAATAAGGAATAACTTTAAATATCATTGTTCATTGGGACATGATTAGATGGCTTGAAACTTTGATAAATAATTTAATACACATATGCTTTATATGATGCAACTGAAACGCAGAGCTTTTCAGATCTAAGATCTCATTATTTTCCAAATAAAGTACTCATAAATAGCGGTGAACACAGTGTTATAAAGTCTTGAGAAACTTATTCACAGATTATGTTAGTGGCTGGTAATATATCTTGAGGTATAATGGCTTACCTTTAAGCGAAAATGTTCTCTTGCCCTCTTCAATGTCATCATGGAATGCGAGTGGAATATCATTGAAAGCCTCAAACCGAGATGACACAGCATTACAATTCAAGCATTTCACGTCCACCCGGCATTCTCCTGTGAACATGCGGTGGATAGTCGTGTCTGCTACCTCACTGCCCTGCGATTTATCTTCCTGCTCTATCCTTTCAATAAGGTATTTCAAGAACTCTGAGCAATCTTGTTGCGCGCCAACTCGAAACCAGGGTGGCCTAGATATTTTGTAGAAGTCGTTTGGACTAATTGCTGAGCGCTGTGCAGAAATGAGATTTATCAGGAATGAGATTTCTGCTTTAGAAATGAAAGAACTTCATTCTTATTTCGAAAACTTCGGATTAATTCAAGACGGAATCAGTTACAGCCCCATCACAGAAGGGACTCCGTAGTCAAAAACCTCGAAAATATAACGTCTACGGTGTTGGCCCAAAAATCTTTTATGTTTGGGATTCGCAATCTTTTGAATTTGGTTGCAAAAACGGTAAGAAAGACTTCTGCTAAAAATTCCAAAAACTTCAAACTTTAACAGCACGAATCACGTATAGTCAAACAGACATTTCTATGATATTTAATGGATATTGAATAACATATTCCTTGTTTGTACAAGCCTATAAACATTGTTGCATGTAAATATTACAGTAACCATTTACCTCTGACAGCAGAAGAAAAGCGAAAAGCTTCGACAAGTTGTACATCAATGGAGCATTTCCTTCAGATAATGGCATCAACAGTAGCTTTGAGCGGAAACTACAAACAAATATTTTCATATCAATTGTTTTCCTTATCAAATGCAATGTTATAAAAGGTTTTCATAAATCTTAGATTAAATTTTCTAATATAAATATAGATTTCATTGCAGTTAATCATGCTAAATCAAACTAAAATAAAATTAAACTTAAAGTTATAATGTTTTTCAATGTTCTTGATGGAATGAGCTCTAATTGAATAACTAGTTTCTCCAAGTCATCTAAATAAATTGCTGAAAAACTAGCTGAAAAACAGATTACCTTTAGATATAAATGCACAGAGAAGTTGATATTTGCAGACAATGATTACCTCTTAAGCATGAACAAAGCTTGAATGACACTATTCATGTAACAAGTGTTCCCAAGGTTGGTTAGACCAGTTTTGCCTCTTACTTGCTTTCTAGATATTTCAGGACTGCTTTGAGGTGCAATAGCACCAGGCAATACAATACAACTTCTTGCAATCCATCTTTTCATATCAGCTTGGCTGGGTTCGGAATAATTCTGCAGTGAACAATGTCTGTTATTTCATGGATTGTGTATGAAGATAAACTATTACTGGGCAAAATATGGACTTGTTAATCAACCACAACTAGCTTTAAAACTGTACAGTAGCAGCTCATAACTCAACATTGCTGCAAAAGTATTGCATTCAACTGCATGTTTGTGGACTCTTAAGAAAACTCAATATAAGATTTTCATAAATGCCAGATGGTTCACTTGATGTGTTTGAAAAACATTAGGTCAACATTCAACTCATAATATTTTGGTATTTTGAAGGGAATGTCACAAGATTTTTAAAATAAACGTAAAAAAGACAAGCATTTGACTTTATTTGATCATTATATGACTTTATATGAAGGCAACCTATATATGATCAATCTATAGAAACACATCACTTGAGTATCAGTGCAATCTTATCAGGTTAATGGAAAAACTAATATATTGATAGCTTTTGAAAAAATGAATTGAGAATCAGATCAGGAAAGCATTAATCAAATACTGTTTTGCATTTCAGACTCATTTCTCACTTCCAAAAGCCTTTTTATTTCATAGGGCAACCAGTGAGTAGCCCCACACCTAATTTCATGTGTAACCTCAGCCTAGCTATAAACTGGAAGCTATAAATTGGATGATAGTGAGTTGGATAGATAGCTGCATCTTAGATTGTTATCAATGGGTCTGCAATTATGCCAATCCTGAACTGTTCTCGTGTTTGGATGGGTTCATCAGTTTAATAAAACATTAATAGCAAAGACAAAAAGAAAGCAAAATCGAAAAAAATACCTTTAAAATAGGGCGAACACTGTTGTAAATATTTGAATATCCTGGAAACATGTACATCAATGTGTAAACTAGCTCTGCTAATGTTCTTATGCATGTCTGATTTTTGGGATCTTCATTGTCTTTTTCAATTAGGTTAAACAATGATGGTATTCTTGGCGCAACCTAGGAAAAACAATATTGAGTTAATAACATCACAAATAACATTTGATATATAACCACAAAGCTAAACAATACAGAAAGAAAATTCAAAGAAGTTTTTCAATTAATTTAAAATCTATGACAAGTCAATCGTACAAAATATTTATCATTGTCTTTAATTAATTGTATATAACAAATACTCATTTTAAATTATTCCTAAGACCAGGAGATCAAAAAGTTACAAAATGGCCTCTTCATTTCCATGTAGTACAAATTTATTGCATGAATGAGCCATAAGTAAAATGGTGAAGCTGTCACTAAGAGGCAGCCAGAAAATTCAGAGAATATTCAAGCTACCTCTTAGCAAAGCATCAGATCCCCTTTTATCTCAGCTCTAATCAGATTTTTCTAAGTCCCATTAATTAAGAATTTACTACCTTGAGCCCAAATAGAGGAATTCAAACTAGGCTACATATTAATGAAAATGATATATCCTTTTTTATTAACTGGAAGCTCCAAACTAAAAAAAATGATATATCCTTTTTTATTAACTGGAAGCTCCAAACTAAAAACAAATCTTTTTCAAATTTGCTCTCTTTTCAGCTAAGAATCTTCTTTTATATTGAACCTTTATAAAAAAAATCAAATAGAATCAACTAAAAAAACCAGGAACATAAATGCGTGTATCAAACTGTTATTTCAAAGTTTATACTTACCTTAAAAAGTAATGTACAAATGTGTACAATTGTTTTCAGTTTTGATTAAAAATATAAATATTTCTTATTCAACAACAATCATGTTATACATTAGAAATATACACCTTTGAATTGATACCATTAATAAATTTCTCATAATTTTTATGAGCCAATAATACAATAATAATATCATTGAGGTGGTTACACAGGTGATACTTGACATTATAGTTAACCTTGACGTGCTATATAGCCATAATAAAGAGCAACTTACACTGGCTTCCCAAATATTTTCTAATGGTTAAAACAACTCAAAGTATTACATTCACATATGGCAGTCAAAAGATAAGAAAATTTTATACAAATTGCATGTGCAAAATACCTTATGAAAAATCTCAGGACTGTGCTGATAGATCAACATCATGAATGAAAAGACTGCAGTGGCAGCTTCTCTGGATTCTTTTGGAAACATGTGATTGAATACCTACAATATAAAAAATAAATGCAATCGAGACAAAAAAACAGACTGCATTATAACAACACTCTGGGAGGAACTATATCTCTATTAATCAATTTTCTCTAAATAATTGAAGTGACGCCAAATAAAAGCAGATTGCAGAGATGCATCAATTTAGCATAACTGCGCTGACAACAATTTATCTTTCAAGAGTAAAGCTATTGAAAATTTGTATGGCCTTTGTTTGCCATGCCAAGAATAAATTGAAAAACAGAACACATGTACCTAATATCAATTAATTGTTAGAACTATCAAATCATTAGGTATAATTTAGGACACGATGAAGAATGTTTGACAATTTATTCTTCCATTACAAGGGGAGATGTTATGATACGAAGTTCAGTTTCTGCCTGGCTGTTTGAGTAATAATAACAGAATAGCTGGAAGAATTATTACGCATAAATTAAAAACACACCCGTAGAAAATTTCATAAAATTTCTTCATATAAAACTTTAAACTTTCATAAATTGGATTGAGCACATTATCTGTGCTTAAATTTATATGGCTGTTTTTCTCACTGATCTGAAAAAAATACTTGATCGAATAACCTATTGTTATCCTACATCAGCACCATGAAGATGATTGAGTCTCATCATCTTGAGACCTCTCGTGCTTAAAGCTTAGGGCTGCTATGAAAAAGCAAGTTGAACTGGAAACAACACGATTGTTCTCTAGTCTCTTACAACCCGGCAAGGTCTCAAGATGGAGGCTGCAATGTGGAATCAACACTGGGCTGGAGAAGCTAAATCCCGTGAGTCTTTTTTGAGATCAGCGATTTTTCTTTAAACTCCAGCACTTTTGAAGTGAAGTACTTCATGATGATAAGTTTGAAAACTTACAAGGGATTAACAAGAAAAATCATTTGGGGCATTATTTCACACTGCAAATCACTTTCATAGTCAAATCCCTTAAGGAATTGAGAATTTCTTTTCCTCTTATAATCAACATAGCATTGGCTTAACATGTGGAATTTTTTCTTGGGTGTACTTATGGTACTAAATGAAAATTGCAATCAAAATCTTTATCTGAGCATTGAGAAGACATTTTGATAAGTTCCATTCAAAGAAGTCTCTAATGCAATCAAAATTATAAGCATTTGCATTCCATTGGTTTCTTTCTTTAATCAAACCCAATAGTGGCCAGGATTATTGACAGGGTGGAATCTACATGAAGCTCACCCCGGACATATGCCAATAAACAATAGAAAGACAATGGGAAATTGTTAGTCTATGCTGGATATCTCCGGCGCAAGCTACATGGATTCCACACTGGGATTATTGACAAGGCCAGATTAATTTTCAAAGTAAAGAAAGGGCAAAGCTCTAGGTTTCTATCTAGGTAATATGAAATAATTATTTACCACAACTGCCTTCTTTTTAACAACTTGTGCAACAACCTGACACCTCTTTCCATCATCAAGCAGTTTTTGGCACACTGTTATTATCCACTCATCCAGGTTTTGGCTTTTTGGCCATGCAAGCCAATCAATTAGCTTACAAAGTGCCAAATCAAGTTTTTTATCTGTAACACTTGGATTACTGCAAATTTTTTCCGCAATGCCTTCCGCATATTCCTTTGGTATAGCTGTCAGGAGTGGAGTCAATGTAACACTAGATGGTTTCTCTTCCTGTGTCAACACACTGAAAATTTCACCAAGAGCTTGCTGAACAAATGTTTTATCTGTTGCTAAGATTTTTGCAAAGAAGTTGCTGATTAGGTTGACATTGTTGACAGCCTGTTGGGTCACTTCTGCCACTGGTAAATTTACTGAGCCTATGTCCTTCATTAATGAAAATGACCTTAATAGACTAACAGTCTTTGAAATTAATTGGTTGTAACCAGTATTTATTGAGTCAACATTCCAATTGCGAATTGCAGCATCTGCAATAGCTGCACATAAAGCAACCGAATCTTCCTCTAAGAAACAATTGATAACTTGATCCATTATTTTCTTTGGTATAACACCAGAACCTGTAGTCCTTAGGATTGACAAAACATGAGACAAGAGTTCATAAAACGCTTTTCTATGGCTAACATCTGCACCTCTATGCGATGGAATAGTGACAACTAGCTCTTCAAGTTTTTTACTCATAAACTTTCCAGCAACCTCAGGATGTGTTCGAACAAACCTGTTCAAGATCCGCTTCGTCATGACATCGTACTTCGATTCATGAGAAGAAACCAGGATTGTCCGAGTACAGCTGTCTAATATGTTCTGGATAGTGCTTTCATCTGTTATAGTGGATGCACACTTTTCAAAAAAGGCAATCTTCATTTCTTCTGGCCAGTCTGAAAGCAACATTTCTTCAATTGCCTCTGCCATCCTCGTTTCCGAACCCTCCGGTGACTTCGATCAATAGGCCTAAAGGCGGCGTTTCCGTGACTGGGCTTTGCGCAGCTAAAATGAGAAAAATACCACTAAAAGAAGCAGCTTCTGTGAATCTTTGGCAGCTTGTTCTCGTAAGCGATCCTTGTAAGTACTGAACTAGAGAGCAGATAAAACTCCTCTCGTCATAAAGTCGTTACAAATGAATTGAACTCCGACAAGCGAAATAAATACTGAAAAGCTCCTTCGCAGAATGCAACTGGAAGGAATTTCAGAAAGATTGCGATCATTTCTCGAAGAATCCAGGTTCTTCCCACCTGATCTCGACGCCAACGTCATTTACTTGCTTAGTTCGATGGAAATCTGGCAGTGAAACATAGGGTATATAATAAAACACCCAGCTTCGTATATTCTCCCCGGTAGGCTATTCAGCATTTATGCAGGATAATTAGAGGACAGAAGAATGGCAATTGCAATCCCTTTTCGATTTAGCATTTATTTATATTTGACTATTAAAATACTTTGAATTTCAATTTGAACTTCAGTCACGAAAATATACCATTTCCACGTCGCTGGCCTAGCTACGCTAAAGTCACAATGTAAAACTGGGCCAACCCGGTGTCGTGGCAAAGGCAGCCATTGTGACGTCAGATTTGAGAGAATCTTTTGTTGATTAAAATATATTCTTACATAAAATTTTGCAGTTATTCAGTTTTCAGACAGACCTACAGTACGATGAAGGTATCTGCGTCTCTCATTTTTTTACTTTCAATCTCATTTCAGATTTTTAATAGTTTACCATATCGACATAGGCAAGGATTTGCACCTGGTTCAAAGATAAAATTGGGCACGGTTGAAAAGCAAAGCGATTGGGACAGATTTCACCGAAATGGTAAGAATCCCGTTCACTTCAAAACCTTCCAGAATAAGAAATTACTTGACGGAAAAGAATCAAAACATCACTTTTACAAAACCGACGAGTCACATGCAAAAGACGTAAAAGGAAGAAAGAAGTTTGGGAAACCCATCGAAGATCAGCTGGACAATGAATCTTATTTCTCAGGTATCTAAAAAACAAGATATTTTCAAAAGCCATGTCTGTTGTGCCCTTCAAAATGCCGTTAATCAAGCAAACCTCTGACATGAAGAAAACATGAGTTAGATACTTTTAAATGAATGTCCGACTCAACAATAACATTGCATATAGCAAACAGGTATTCTTCTTTCAAACTCAAGCCCAAAAACTTCTCTAGCATATCGTTTTAGTTACAAGTTACGTCGATGTACATAGTTGATTGATTAATATTAATAATGTAAATTGTGAGATAAGATGACATGATTCTTAAAATTTAAGAAAGCGAGCATAAATTTTTACTTAATTAGCTGTTGGGCACATGGGAAAAACTCAAGCGGAGCATTCAAAGCCATGTGCCCAGTTGACGTGATTTGACAATAAATAGATTTTACAAAACTACTTGGATTGAATATCAACAGTAAAAATCAGCAAATATTGATAACCAGTTTTTTGTGTTAAAATAACTAAAAACAAAGTAAAATGGAGTAAAGTGAGGAAAAAAAGGAAATACGAAAAGGGTTTACAGTATGTACGATTATAAGCATCAAGTTCATTGAATTAGAACCCTAAGCATAGGAAGGACTTATTCTAGTTATAATTATATTTAAAAATGTTTTATGTAGTTATAATTATGTTTAAAAAATGTTTTATCCGGCAAATTGTATTGATACGTAGGAGAGAGCCATGCTTCAAAGAAAAACGGTGAGCTGTTTCAAGACTCCTTTCAAAACAAAGTGAATGAAATTTCCAGTGACAGCAGTGCAACAGGAAATACAACACCGAAGATTGGGAAAGTAGTGATAGCTAAACATAAATCGAACGATCCATCTCACGCAAAATGGTCTTCAAAACGTGAGTTCAATTTTACATATAGTACGGAATCTCGTAAAGGGCAGAAAATGAATTTCTATTTCATTGAAAGGCATGTTACCCTGCATATTTTGCCATGCATAAACGAAATGGAAGGATGTGGACGTGCAACAACACAAATGCCTTTTTTTGAAGAATTTGATAACTTCGTTTGTAAATAGTTAGTGATTTTATCCACACAAAAAGGAAAAGCGGTTATAGCCTATCCACTTATCATTGCGACTTATGACATGTCCTTTATCCGTCTCTCTATTACCTCAAAGTCATTAGATTTGGAATTAAAGTGAACTTTTATTTAAATGTATATAGAAAAGGAGATTTGTATCCAGGCTCGTATCAATTTGTGCACAGTTTGAATTAAAATATTAAACCAGTTATAACAGAAGATATCTAGAGAGAAAATAAGCTCTATCTATCTGTGTTTTTTAGCCGTGAACTACACTGTTGGGAGGGGTGCAAGAAATAAGGTTTAGAGTCTGATATAGTTATTTAAAGAGATTTTGATCACCGCTGAGCTTTTATTTTTACTCTGAGCCAAAAATTCATAATAACGAGCCCTCTCAAGAATTCTTTGGTAAAGCTAAGTTTGATACTCTGTTTCATATAGAAAAAGCAAAGCAGTTTAAAAATTTCTCAATAATTTTTTGGAGGCAATTGCATATTCTCGTTTTCAGCAAACAATTGGCTAAATACCACTAGACTGAAGTCTCAATTTGTGCCTACCACTGCTGTTAATAACTAATAATTACTGCGGGATCCCCAAAGGCGAGAGAGGCTAGGGTGCTATGACCTACTCATTTTTGGGGACCAAAAGAGCTCTATGCAAAATCATTTGTTAAGAATTTTCAAATCGCCCTTTGTTCAATACATGAAATACAGATTTTTCAATCCAATTCAAGTAAAATGCATTGCTTGTTTTTTAGAGAAAAATAGGGTCAGCAAGGCTGTTGTCATTCTTCTGAGTGTAATCAGTGCTCTGATTGTGACAGTATTGTTGATTGCCCTCTGTTCCAATGTAAGGTAAGTCCTCAAAGAATTATTTCCATGAATAAGTACGATTTCTTTATTAGATCCCGACAGAATTGATGGCATAAATATCTAGGAAACGTACCCCGAATATCTATGAGCTTGAACCAAGTTAACTCTTGTTTGAAGAAAATTGAACGTTTTGTCATCAGGACTAAACTGGGCAAAACCACATTGGATCATAGGCACAGGTATGAGGGGGGGGGGGGTATAAGACTTGATCATGGCACATTAACACCCATGGTAGCTTTTAACATTGAAGTACTTTTCAGGAAACAGCCAAAAGGCAGAATATCTTCTCCATTCGAGAAATGGCAAAGCAAAAAGTATCCTTATTTTATTGGAGATTCTCAATGAAAAGGACCTTTTTGATGTATTCTCTTGTCAGTTTCAAGATCAAAATGTCTGACGCCTTTTGTGAATAATATGAACCTCTTTTTATAAAAATGTGTCCATTTTAGTACTGGAGCCAGACCTGGGTAAGTTAAAATTCGCCGTCTATGCATTGAAAAACAAAGGATTTCATTTTTTAGTCCACGATTTGCTGATTGGATGGCTAGAAGGAACAGAGTAGGGTATATACCTTTAAACACAATTGATCTGGAGGATGGCCAAAGAAAAACTGTTGGAAAAAATGAAACGGTTGGCAAATTTGACTTTTATTGTATTTTAGCTGAGTGTCTTCTTCCCTGCTTCAAAATTATAAAAATCATTACGACACTTTAAGAAAGAGCTTGCACAAAAAAGAAATATTGTTTTTACGATTTACCTCCATCTTTCCGTAAAGATGATTCATGAGCTTCCTTAAAGATAAGCTATTTTTAATCAATCTTGAATGTAGGAATGGTATTTCGGTCTAGATAACAGTAAATTCGAATAAATACTTTATGATATATTTGTATGTTAGGGCTTATTTTTAATGTTTGATTATTATAGGTCACCAAAACCATTCCTCAAGACGCATATACCAAGCGTGATCAAAGCTCAAATTCGGACGAACATTATTTGAATACGAACAGTACCAGGTCCGCTTCAAATATCCAAGAAAGTTCTGGCACCATCGGACTCAACCAATCGGCGATCCGGAACAGTCACAGCGGTATTATATTACACACAATTATTTTTACTGCCTCGAATTTATTTAGAAATATGATAGAAAGACGTGTGTTGCTAAATTGTAAGCTGACCACCAGTAGAGTCTGTGACCACCAGGGAGGACACAGAGTCATAAACCTTCCGATTTCGTTACATGATTTGCCATGTATGTTTTACCCTGGGTATTCGCAGTTGCTGCCGTTAAATTTTTGCGGCTCTGGTACCCAGGGTATGTTTGTTTAAACATCTTCAAAAATCAGGCCTATAGAGTGAAGGGGAGGTGGGAGGAACAGGCTGCTCAAAGCCCCAAGCCAGTTAAAGCTATAACAAAGCTCTAAACAATTACAGCAATAACAACAATCACAGATTAATGTTATTTTCAAGGGTCCTAACTTGTTTTGCCCCAGGACCCAAAAAAGCTTTCAGATGGGCATGGTCAAATGCAACTGTTTTTATGATTTTCTTCTAAACTTTAGAATACAAAAACTGGGAAAACTGCATAAAAATTGCAATTCGACAAAGAACAGTGCTAGGCAGCAAGAAATGTACTTACAAAAATATTGACGTAGAAAAATAGCATCAATAACTCACATAAGCATTAAAAGACAATCAGGGCTTTATCAGCTTGAGTATAGCGAAGCAAATTGAAATATTCAGATATAAGATATCCTTAATAATTTAAGCATTTGCTTAGCAGACCTTTATGCTCGTTTTCTTGGCAAAAAATCATACAATCACTTGAGCTTCCTTTTTTAAGATGTAATTGTTTCTTTTCTGTTCTAATATAGATACAGGCATTGACTGTGAATCTTCAAAAGACATTGAAAGCAGAGATGAGGACATTACAGCCCCAGTCTCCTTGGACATGTCTTCGTTATCAATGATCTACATGGGTATATACAACGTCATTGAGACAGATTCAAGCAGTGATGGAAGCAGCTCACCTAGCTCAACTTCAAGTGAGATTGACGTCATAAAACAAGACACGACGGTAGGATGCTCTGACTGGCCATCGTATGTTGCCGGAAGAATTAAGAACAAATTGCCGAGAAAAGAATCTGCAGAGAAGAGAGAGACAGGCAAACGCTTTGTGGCTTTAGATAAAGTGTGTGCATCAGTCCTAGCCAAAGATGTAATCACTCCTCCTGAAAACGTTCAAATGCCTATTAGAAGTAAGGAAACAATCGCTCTGCCAAAATTCAACACAAGCTCCGATGATAGACTCTATAAACAAGGAATCTACGAGACATTCACTTCTTACAAAGATGGCTTTACAAAGAAGAAAGCTGGTAAAATTAAGAAAGATAGTCTAACTGATAGCAAAGAAGTTCCTAGAGGGGATCTAACTTTGGCGAAGAAACAAGAACAAATAAGCTTTGAAGGTGATTCATTTACAAACGCCATAGGTCAGAATTACTTAGAGCCTACCGGAGCAAGAGAGAGAATTAATGCATTATTAGAAAAGAGGAAGAGGTTTTTAGACGGAAACAATACATTAGCAAGATCTTCCCATTTCATTAAAGGAAAGACACGATTAGACAGTTTAACGGGAGACAGACGACATACCATGCCAAAAAGGCAAGTAGAGGCTTTGAACTACAAATTTTCATATGGTTGCTACGATTCAGAAGAAGAAGAAGGAACGATTGATATAAAGCAAAGACTGTTTATTAACTCCAGGAAAACTACAGAGCGTCAAGCGTCTTTGGCAAATGGATTTGAGGACAAATGTGATGCTACAAAGGAAACCAGTTTAGAAGAACAAGACAGTAGTGTGGACTGGGATGAGTTAATTGCTGAAAGAGTTAAGTGTGGCCTTGAGACAAAGGCAAACCTACAAGTTAGCAAAGAAGAACTACATGGCTTGCAAGACGCAGGCGCTGGCCATTCTGATCATAATCACAAGCTGAATACCCCAAATGAAGAGGATCATATACCCAATGATAAAGCCTATGGAAATGACTTGCCTACTATATCCGAAATGGCAAAGAAACAAATAAAGGTATACGATGCAGTCATGAGGGGGGATCTTCTAAGCCCTAGTTGTCATGGATATGAGGAACTGGCTGCATGTCTAAAAAACTGGAGGGATGAAATAGGCCCAGTACGCTCTGTTGAGGACTGGGGTGATTATAATTACACTCCAGCTTGTTTAAGATATGAAACACCTTTGCCACTAAGAGACAGGACGAAAGGATCTGGAATCAGAAAAGGCACATTGCTTGGGAGTCGCAGTTCTAATTCACTCTTTGAGGGCGATGGTCCTGAAACTTGTAAAAAAATATGGACTGCCCTGGAGCACTTAGTGGACAATGAATCAGTAATAGAAGACGTGAAAAATGTTGATATCGAGCGAAATACTTTGAATACATCGTTGAAAAATACTACGGAGGAACACACAGAAGCATCTAAAACTGTAGATACCAGCAATGAAGTTAATTCGCAGAATCTTGATGATAGAGTCAAAGAAAGATTGGCTAACGAAAACATAGAAGATATGCATAGTGCTGTGAACACTAATTGTCACATCAAAAATGACACTGAGGAAAAAATTAATTCAAGCAATGACTCAAAGAGAGCAGAAACATCTTTCGATGATACTAAAGAAAGAGAAGTGCAAAAAATGAATGCGTTTTACTCTGAAAAAGACTCTGAGATTGATACCAATCAAGGCTTTTCGAAGAACTATAGTGAGAATGGGAATTCAGAGTCGACCAGAGATGCAGTCCAAGAATCAGACAGTAACAGCTCCTCGACGTCATCGTTATGGAACGTAACGACAGAATCTTCAACAACAAGTGGAAGTTTGGCATCAGCTCTAAACGAGTGTTTTTCAGTTGATGATATATGTCATTATTCTGAAGAATTTGTTCTGACAAGAGATGTTGCAGTAAAAGAGAATCAGTCCAATTATAGCAAAACCTTGCAGAACGGTAAGTTTAAAGTACCCCTAAGCATCAATGTATTCATAACCCAACACCCCAACATGAAAGCTCTCATACAACGTCTATTTAAATATTCTATGCTAGATGATAATGTACTTTTAAACATGTTTGCTATATTAGGAAAGTATAGAAGAAAGGAGCAAAAGATAGTAAATGTCTTCTTTTAGCAAAATCCTTCTTTAAAAGGGTATTGGTATTTCTTCAAACTGAGTTTTAGATTGATTCTCCTTGCTTAGAGTGGCAAGTTAACTAGTATTGTATTAAAATTCTAGTTTAAATTCGAACAGGCAAAAGATTCTTGCATAATTTATTGCATAATTTATATCATCGTTCTCAGGTTGTGATTTAGTTTCAATTCTTTGACAAACCTTTGCACTTATTATATCTAAAAAAGAGCCATAGCTAGTATCGTTTCTTAGGAGCGTTTGTTCCCCTCCTAAAAAGATCTCATTTTCAAATGAACATTTCCTTCTGTTCCAATTTTTCTAAAACCATTGCACCCCTGAAAGAATTCTATTTTATCTACAGTCCTCTAATTTTTCATATTGATGTATTCAATCGTTTGCAATATTCGACAGTTTGAGTTAATTACCGTTTTTTGTACAAGATATGCTGTTAAAAGCGACGAGCAAATATATGAAACTCAAAGATGATCTTTTCAAAAAGGCTAGCTAAATTTTTGATATGTTTGCATCTTTTGGTTATATCATTTCCACATAAGGTTTAAGTATTAAGAAACGTTTCGTGATTGCAGAGTTCTCCCGTGCCATGTTGCCCAAACTGGCTCTTAAGCAATCTTCAGCGTTCAAAGCCTTTGGACATTTGCGGAGGTCAATGAGTGACAGTGGCATTAGTATTCTGTCTCGTTCTGCTGCAAATACCTCAACAATCCAAGATTTGAGCTTCCAGAAGAACAAAGCGACTGGGGTGCTTAAAAGCAATTCAAATATTGAAATTCAAAGTGGGAAAACTTTGACTGATCATTCGGCTCAATCCATAACAGAGGCCACAAACATTGTATCTGATAAATGTCTGCAAGTAGGAAAAGCTGGTAGATTTTCAAAGAAACGATGGAAGTTCATTAGAAGAATGTTCAGGTCAAAAAAACGTGGCATCGAATTGGCATCTAATAAAGGCTGGCCTGCTGAGCACGAAGGAATAAAGTCATTTCCAAAAAGAAAGAGATTTTTCGAAAAAACCAAGAACAAAACCTAATGTGGCTGTATTTCGTAACGTAATGTAATATTTAACTTATGCTTTCGCCTATATGCTCATGACAGGGAGTAAATTGATTTTGTTTTTTTTCTGAGCTATTTAAAGGTCGATTCCATCCAGACCTAAAAAGTGTTATTTTACTCATTCTTCACAATTGGTTGTCTCAATGCCAATAACAAAATCTTGAAAGAGTACAATAGAAAAAGAGTCATTTTCCCCGAAAAATGTAATATTAATAGTTAAAACGCTATGTTGTGCAAAATATATAAATACATTTATATATAAGGTTTGCGGTACACTAGTTTTGTTCAACCGATGACCAACAATGACGTCATTCTTCAAAATTGAAAAGCAAACTGGAAGATGTGCGATTGACTTGATCTCACCTCAAATATCTCATCTAAAATGGAATGATAATAACTTAAAAGTTGAGTCAAAATTATTTTTGAAATTGAAAAGCACAATTTTTTCTCTCGAGAAAATTTTAACATGACTTGGTCACGAAAACCTGTTAGTTTTAGTAAGCAGTGGCTACAACCATTGATAAAGAGAGTGAGGAAGAGCCCATGTAGGCATGTAGGGAGGGGGGCGGGGGGGAGTGCACATGTAAGCCAAGATGGGGCACTTCTATGAGCTGCAAATGAATACTTAAACCCTGTCAACCGAAATTTTTGAAAGTAAGTGTACCAAGACTTTTGGCAGGCATTGTACATCTTTGCTTTGAGTAGTATAAAGCTTTGAGTAAGTTCTGGGTAGTATAAAGTCTCTAACAGAAAAAAGCATGGCCTTTCAATAGTCAACAAAAATGCTTATATCTACCTGAAAAGGATTAAGGGAATCTAGGTCGCCTGCAAAATCTGATACACTTCTTAAGACTCTTTTTGCTTCCCTTTCTGAGCAAGTAACAGTGGACCACACTACCGTATCTGCACTCACAACGACATTCATACTTCTTGATACATTTTCCTTCGCAACAAGATTTACGAAGTTTGCAAATTGCTTTTCTAGCTGGCGGACATTTGCAAATTGTTCGGCATATATTCCTAGAGCAGTGTTTTGTTACCCCAAATCGACATTTGCAGAAGCATCGTCTTGACCATGGATTGCAAACTCGCATTTGGTAACGCGGACAGCGTCTCTGCGCAGGCTCTTGCTCTATCAAGGAATCAAGACTCGTTTATAATTCAGAACACATAAAAAGAGGCTGCAATTTACTTGAAAATATTTTAAAGACAGGCTGAGATTAAATAGGCTTTAGCAATTGGAAGGTAGCAACAATCAAAGTCAGACCAATGAAGTGAATTATATGTTGAATAATCACGTGGTTTGTAAGATGTTTTGTTTGTCTCTAAGATATTTTGTTTCTCTGCTAGATTTTTGTTGTAGTTGTAAGATATTTTGTTTATCTGTTAGAGGTTTTCTTTATCTATTAGATACTTTATTTGCTTGTAAGATATTTTGAACTTGTTTTGTTTGGTGTACTTTCTAGAAAGTTCAAATAGATGCAAGAAAAGCTATTTTTTATCACTACAAGAGAAAACTAGAAGAATATTGAAGTAATAAGAAGTCTTTATCATTTCTTGACATTAGAAAAAAAACATGGATTTAGTCTTGTTATTTTTTCATTCATTAAAGATTCATGATTATATTTTATTCACGATTCGTTCATTTCTTTATTTTTCTTTAAAACCATTAAAGAAACTTAAAGGAAATTTGAGGCCATTTAAAGGGGAAAATATAGTACCGTAAACCTCGAATTAGCCCCCGGGGCTTATTTATTTTTGATATTTTTGGATGGGGGCTTATACGAGGGGGGCTTATGAAATTATTGAATTAGACATTATTAAAAGACCTTGTTTGTCTTAGTAGGAATTTCTTTATGAGCAATTAATTAATTACTACCAAAAGTATGAATTTGTTGTGGTAATTCAATAAAACGCCATAGGCAACCTCAGATGGCAAAAATAATCAAATGGGAGGGTCCAATTCCAAAATTTACACTAGCAGTGGGGGGGGGGAGCCAATTCGAGGATTTACGGTAGATGATTTCAAAAATGATAAAACTTTTTTAAAAAAAGAACCTGAAAATTTTGCCGAGGCTCGAGTGTTCTTAAATGTTGTTTTTATTTCAAAATTGATTTATATACAACTTCATACTGTGAATTGTTTCTAAGTAAATAAAAGTTTTGCACTACATTTCTAGTAGTACGACTGACTAGCCGACAAAATCTGCCCTATTTCACTAGCATGAGGGCAAATTTTCCCAAAAAATATTTTTCTTCTACTGATGAATTTTTGCACTGGTGAATTTGACTGGTAAACGATAATAGAATATTCTCCTTTACCAAAGAGGAAACAAAAATATAGTGCGCTTTTGGCAAAAACCTTTTTTGTTTTTGAGAAAAATCTCCATAAAATTCTAAAAATTCTATTGTTCTAAAAATATCGTAGGCTTCATAGAATGAATGATAAACTCCTCGCCATTACATTGACAGTTAAGCAGAGCCTAGAAAATATAACGGTCAAACGTTCAACGGCCGCAATGGTGGCCATGGAATACTTGAAAAAAACTCAATGCTTCAACCAAACCCTAACTTTTTCATTGCTCTTCTGATGAAAGCTTTCAGTTCCTAAGACTAATATCTGTCGGAGGGAAAACCTTTTTTCTCCATCCTGCATTTAAGGTTGAATAGAAGTGCTTGTAAGAAAATTACCTTTTTCTGTTGCGTCAGGATCTGATTCTTCCTCGTCACTTTCATCCTGGGCGCCCCATTCTGTGTCGTATTCTTTGTCCTCCTCTGCCTCGTAGTCGGCACTTACTTGCTTCTCGTCATCATCAGCTGCAAAACAATTCTAGTTAGGGGTACCCTTCTTTCACATGATGTATTTTTCCATATACACGGTAATCCTCTTTTTAAGCATCAGAAGATGCAACTCTTCTCCTAGACGATGACACGAGTGAAATTCATACTTGCAAAAATGGTAGTATCTCATCTAGTTATTGTTTAACGTACAGGTAAGTGGACATGAAAAGCTCTCATCCTAAACTTAATAGTCTGCAACAGTCTCAAATCACATTTCATGTCCTGGTTATTATAAGATAAGAAGTGACTTTGTTGTCTTTGCTCAACATGCTAGTAAGCCATAGATAAAAAGCCTCTCTTTCTCGGTTTTATAGCCTGAAGCGACTGATTTTACAATGCAGAATGGGGGCATAAACGCTCTTACCTCTGACAAAAAGGCCAATACCAAGTAAGATGAAAACGAGGAGTTTCATTTTAGGAGCGCAAGATTCCTGAAAAATAGAAAGTCAATTATGAGGAAATTTTGAGCAAATAAAATTATGATAAAAATGCGTAAAGTATTTGGATATGATAAACTTTGCTTAATTGCTATTTCAGTTCTTCTCAGGTATTATAATGCATTCAGTCTTAAGCATTAAGTGCATGTAAATATGAGAGTTATATGGTACAATGAATCCTCTTCGATAGAAAGAACAATCCAGCGGTCTTGCCTGCTGTAGACACAAGCTGCTTTGAATAAACATAAAAACCTTTAATTCAAGACTCTAAATTTTTTATATTCATTTGCCATAGATTAAATCGTGTATCATTGGATTAAGCTTTTAGGATGGCCAGAAATAGCTGCATGTCCAGCAATAAGGCATGTTTAAGAAAAATCTGTGCTTACATCTAAAATTTAAAAGTTTCCCACCAAAATTATCTGTGACTAAGTAAAACACATTTGAAACACGTTGTCCTCATAAACATAAACTCTTAGAGAATATCAATAATTTATCCGAATAAACGCAAAACTCTATCTGCAATGTCCCTGCTGTACATTTTTTCAAAATTCTTGCAGTAGTGTATGCCATATATTCGAATGTGAGAGAAAAAAGCAATTAAGAGATGCCTTACCTTGTTTGTTGAAGATATGACGGTTTCTGAACGTAGATTCTGTCAACATTGGTTTTTTTCCACTTCCACTTTGTTTTATATCAAATTTGGAGGAACAGTGGGCAGCTCACCTGGGAATGGTCACGGGTTTGGTATTCGCTCCCAAGCGCATGTACCGAGATCACATCAAAGGAAGAGGTTTCTAGGGAAAATTTGCTTTAAAGGAACCAAATAGAAACTTTTTTGCCAAGGGCATTTCGCGTCCAATCAACCTGGGCGAGGCTCTATAATGAACTATGTGAAAATCGACGCCTTTGCAATGAAACAAGTTATTTTTGCTCTTGTGAAATTGTGAAATATAATGTCTCACATTTTCTATAAAATGAAGGGCTGATATTTAAATCCCCTGTGTGTTCGTGTGTCCTTTACAACCAAATCGATTGTATAATTGAATGGCAACAGTAGCAAAACCGCTTTGTAACAGGGCTTGTGACAAAACCAAACAACGTGGTTGCTAGAAAGCAGTCCATTGAAAGCAGAAAAATGACAAGGCATCCAATTAGAACTAGGGACAATTAGTGGGCTTGGTTTGTTGCCAGGCAAGCTCTCAGCTTGTAAACATTGTCTTTCCCAAGATGATAGGGCACAGTGGAAAAGAGGGTCTGGAAGCTTTAGGCCCAACCTTCTGTCAAAAAACATAAACAGTTAGAAATTCATCTTCAATCAATATTTTAATGCTCCTCTTATAGAAGTTCAGATTCAGCCTCCAACCTTCATTCACAGGGGCAGTTCAACATATCTATAGTTCATCAAAAATCATCAGCTTGTCCTGTTTTTGACCTGCAAATACCATGAGCTTCTATACCGTATAGAGCTAATAAATGAATGATGGCAGAAGTCTTCCAATTTACTTGAATTTCAATTCAGTGATCCGCCTCTGAATTTCATTTACGTAATCACAGAATCAAAAAGGAAAAATTCAATTTATTTTCAAAGTTCTAAGGTTACACTTATTTCAAGCTTTGGATCCAAATAATTATATCGTTGACCCAGAAACCTTCATGTCCTGTACTTCTAGATACCCACAGCCTTTAAAGAGCACTCATTCTAATTATTTCAATTCTAGCCTCTGAATCTGCCTACGGCCATGATATTGAATATCCACTTTCTCAGTGAATATCCGTAAAGGCAAATTGGGTTCCAACAACAACTAACGAACGACCTAAAAACAGTACTGTAGCAGAAACAAATGATTTTAAAATAACTGTATGCTTCTAAATGAAGAAAAAATTGCAATTTATTAGTTGTTTAGGACCATAAATGATGAACATGAAGAGAATGATGAAAAGTTGTCAACTGTTTGATAAAAAGTAAAATGAAGGAAATGTACTTGGTGTAGCACTCGACAGTCAATTCAAGTTTGATCAAGACTTGTTGTGAAGCTGAAAAGATAAGTGCTCTTACTAGAATAGCACTTTATTTAAATGAAGAGAGAAAAAATTAAATATGCAAACATCCACAGCCACCGCGGAGCAGAAGGGGGGGGGGGGGGGGGGGCTTCAGCTCCCCACTTTTTGCAAAGTATGCCAAAAATTTAGTAATAAACTACCCGTAAAGCCTCTTTTTATATGTATCGCCGTGTCAATGTTAACCTGTTAATCAAAGTCTATAACAGCAAGTACACAACAAGTTTCCAAGACCTTTCTCAGCACTCTTGACATTCCTAGCAATGCAATTCTCCTTATAATAGGGCCCCTCCATAGTGATTGTGATTCACGCATTCACACGCAACTTTTTGACTTTTCACGCATTCACGCACTGCGAAATTTGATTTTCACGCTCACGTAAGCAATAAATGTAATACCAGCTGTTGCTCGTCAAAACCCTGTTTGAAGGACTACAACACTTTCTTCAACCTCAAAAATACTAATTTGCGATTTATATAACTATTATTGGTTTATTACGCACCAAATTGAGGCAATTTTTTAAATTATCATTTACAACTTCATTCACCAATTCACGGATGGTTAAAGCTTTTTCACGACAAAAGGAAAACTCATGTTTCACGCTTCACGTAGGAATCTCAATTCACGAAATCACGTTTACAAATCGAGATTTCACGATTCCACGCACGAAAATATGGCCAATAACACATCACGCAAAAATATGGGGGACCCCCTATAATGTGAGGTTTTGTTTTTATTCTCTCAATCCACAAATGGATAGTATTATAATTATTACTATACACCCAAGATTGATTTCTTAGACATATCATATACTTAAATTAGCTGATTGCGTTTACTTGCAATCCAGCTTACTTTTGTACCCAACGTCAATTAAAGCGACTAAAAATACCCATTCCTTAAAAATTTATATGTAGATAATTATGGAATGGTCAGTTTGATTCAGTTTTTACAGGACTGCTTAAAAACACAACTTTCGTGGCACGTTCAGAAACTTTAAATGGCTGTTATTACTTTTAGAATTAAAATATCTGAAACAAGACCATTTATTCATTGTAGTATCTTATGTTATGTGCCAATACAATTAGCATAATATGTTCTATTCTAGGATATAACAATAAATAATGCAATGAACTTGGTGTAATGATTAAGGGGTTTTTCTTATTACTCGTTACCCTTATATTACAGTCTTCAATTAAAGCTAAATTTCTCTAGCATGTTGCTGCACGTCTAGTGAAGCTGACATATAGAACCCACTAAAATTTGTAGGAAGGGACACGAAAGAGCTTTGGCCTTTGATTAGGAAGGTTAATCCTAGTTGAACATCCTTCCATGGACTTATCGAAATCCCTAAATGAGTCCAGGTATTTTAAATTATCTTACGACATCCTGCCACAAGAGAAGCTTAAGCGAAGCGAGGCTTTCAACTAGTCCTGGAACTAGCAGTGTTGTAGTTGTGTGAATATTTTCTGTTGCTGAAAATGCTGAATATAATGCTCAAGCTTAGTTTCTTCAATAAAAAGAAAGAGTAGGGACAGAATGTACAATTCATGTCATATGCAGTGGCGTAACGCAGCTTAGGGTCCCTTTGCTCGATAACTAAGGACCCCCGACTAAATGGGGCCCCGAAATTATACATCGCTCAGTCTTTAAGACTCTATACATCGCTCAAGTTCAAGTCATTTTCAAAAACTTTTACAGCTCTTCAGCTGTAAAATTCTAGATTATTTTGAGAAATGCTATATTGACGGAAAAGCAATTTAAATTATACAAGAAAACGAGAAAAATTGACTTAGTTATTTGTCTTGATGATTTAGGACAAGCAGTGAATTGATAGTTGTTATTATTCGGTAACAGTGATGATGCTACAGTCCCTTCTTTGTCCCCAGCGAACCGGGTTTTCTAAGTCATAAGCATACAATATTTACTTATAACTACAACACACAGTGGCGGAGTTGAAGCAAGTCTGGCACCCCAATTATTGAGAAAAACTTCTTACAAAGTAAATAGAGAGCCTTCTGTCAGTAGTTTAGGTTCTGAAATTGTTTTATACAGCTTACAATCGTCACCAATTTCTAAAAAAACATTCAGCGCCCCCACTACCAGCTGCCCCCCTTCAAATATGCTCCGCCCCTGCTACAACACCTGTAGAAACCTGACTGATTGCTTTATCAAGATCATTCATACAGCGAGGAATGAAAATTGGACTAAGCAGGCAGGCTTGAGTTCTCCCTATTGAATAATCGGAAGTCAATGAGCCCCTCATTACCTCTAACACATGATTTTTTTTGGAAAAGAGTGAAATTATAATATCTAGAAAGTTTTCTTTAACTCCATAGGACACAAGCTTTTGCAGTAAAATCTTATGAAAAATCGAATCAAAAGCCTTTTGAAAATCAACAAAGCAAATATATGGCGGTGAATTTTTAAAGACCATAGAATTTTCTTAAGTGCGTGTTCAGTTAAAATATGGTCACTGGTTACAGTGGCCTTGCCTACATGTTGCAAGATTTCCACACAAAGATTTGCTACTCTTTGTAGTCTTCCTAAGGAAGCCCCTGAGAAGATTCCACCAAAAATGCCTAGTAAAGTCATTCCTCTGTAGTTATTGAGATTAGACTTATCGTTACCTTTGTTTTGTTATCATATGCTTTGAATCACGTTTTAAATGTTGATTTGTATTTAATTGAGGATAAAAATTTTTGATCAATATTCATTTATCAATCTGGAAAAAATTAAAAATCTTGAAAGAAATCGAAAAGAAAACATTTAGGCCATGGTATTTATAGAAACAACTTACTTTATTTTAAAGTTTGATTTAATCACGTTTAATATGTGACAGGGTACGCCGTTTAAGTGCCCCTTGGGTTTTTTGTTTCGGACACAGATTGTACGATGGTGGAGTTTGTGTTTATTATTGCAGTGCTTGAGTAAGCTTTACATTGTGTCTTTCATACGGCTAAAGCAACAAGGGTGCAAGTGTGCATTGGCCTTGGGTATATAAACTTTGTCTTTGTATACTTTTATTCTCACACCCTGCAAGATAACCTTAAGTTAGACGTAGAGAGGAAAGGTTTTTCCTTTGCGACCCTGCCCACCCTACCCATATCTAGGTATTTTAGGTGTTTGCAGGCATGTTAAATTTATCTTTCTTTTCTTCGTGCATTAGTTAATTTTCTTCTCAACCCTCTAAAAAACGGTTGGGTTTTTATTTAAACTTTGCGATTGGCGCAACGACAGCCCAAAAATAAATGGTCCAAATGATGAGAGAACGCCACCTTCAGTCTTATGATTGATAATTGGTAAAATATTCTGAGGACCATCTTACTCTTATTTGCTAACGATTTTTGTTTGGTAACCTGGAACAAATATTAATAGCGAGTTTGGAACTTTAAATGGAAAACATTGACAAACTGACATTGAGAAATGCACCAGTAAACGATTGGGCCAGCAAACATTTTTTCTATCAGTGCATAAGAATAGAAATTCATGAAAAGTACAGACTATACAAAAAAACAAATTTGAAAAGAAATTGCATTTTCAAAGTGGGACCATGTAAAACCAAAATATCAATGAAATCAGCGTCAAATATAAAGAAGTATTTCCACCACAAAATTTCCATTCATCCCCATCATCAAAACTCAATTAAAGCATTTGAAAGCTACAATCGCTGCCAAAATTACTTGGAACACCCAACACTTTGCACTGTGCTTTTCTATTTTTCATTTGTTTTCCCGAATACAACTACTTCCGTCCCCCTTTCCCCCCAAAACAATGTTGAAAGTATAGAAAAATATCATACAAGGCACACGAAAAAGCATTCTCCACAACCCCTTCCTTTTTTCTATAGTAAATCAACATTGTTCTTAGGGGGAGAGGGGGGTGGCTGAATTTGCCTTTGAAAACCTACGTTAGTGTTCCAAGACTTTTGGCAGTGATTGTAGGTCGTTGCACTTGGAAGCGAGATGTTTTTGCGCACAAGTTTGCTTACACATCGAAGGCAATGGGAGCAAACACCTCATGTCCTTGTGAAAAATTTATGATTTGTTGAAAAAAATTTATGATTTGTTAAAACTCTTGCCGGTCGATTTTTATTTGGATCAAGTTTCCATTATTTTCATCTCGAAGTTTAGCTGACTGATAAAAGACAATAACTGATTTGCGATTGTTATGGCAAAAAATATTTTGAGATATTTGAGACTGGCGATGGAAATCTGATTTGAAATTTATCCAAACTTTCTATCCCGGACATTTTTTCGAGTAGTTTTTGAAATGATATCTTTTTTCATTAACTTGTCAAGATAAGACTATTAATAAGGCTATTAAGCCACTTTATAACAAGTTGCCAAAATCGTCAAAGAATTTGATAAAAAACCACAGCTTGGAAATTATGTGGGAAAAAGAGAACAATCTGCCCGTTCATCTTGGATAGAAACGATGACGAGGAGTGAGTGGTTTAAGCCACGAAAATTGGTTTTCATTACATTGCTGCAGGGCACATGGAGATTCTAAATTAGTACTATAGTCACTGTTTGATCAATGAAACTATGCACGTATCAATGGAAGAAAAGAGAGAACACATGGCTACTCTTTGAAGTTCAAATTTAATAAAGTTGTAAAACCTGATCTTGATGATCTATCAATAAACTTTCCGCTTTTTATTGATAACAGGTCACAAATTATCTCAGCTATTCAGGAATTTTACATGAATTCAGAGGCGGTCTGGCATCATGATTGCAGTATGGCATAACTACAGTGCGCTCGCTCGCTAAAGAAAAACAAAGCTTTTCAAAACTCACTTGGGCCCAGTCCTAGGTGTGTGGCAGGTAAACTTTTTTGAGCCACGCCAACTAATGGAAGCACAGCCTAAAATACGCTCAGTATAAATCAATTATCAATTGGTGTTGTACTCTATTTGAATCAAGAATTCTATATAGTTAAACTTTGTAAATTAACAGCAAATCAATAGATCTATTTGTAACTCAAAGAAACTCGAATAACAGTTCAAAATAACAATCCTAGTCTAATACTTCTAGCAATATTGTCAAGCGAACATAATATATGCAATATTCTGAAATTGATCCAAGG